TGTGTGTGTGTGTGTGTGTGTGTGTTAGTCAGGGCATGGTGTCATGCTGTGCATTGTGGAGTTCAGAGGACAACTTTATGGAGTTGGTTCTCTTATCCCACCTTTACGTGGGTTCTGGGGGTTGAACTCGGGCCGTCAGGTTTGCATCATCAGGAGACAGACACCTTTACCTTTACCATGTTACTGGCCCTACTCTCTGCTTCCAGACTGTGGACAAGATGTGACCAGCTCCCTCAACTCCTGCTGCTGTGACTGCCCCACCATGAGCAACTGTAAACTGCACACCCAAGCAAACCCTTCTCCCTTAAGATGCTTTTGTCAGGGTATTTTATCACAGCAGCAGGAAAAGTAAGACACCAGTACAACAAAATGCAAAGCCTAGAAGTAAACCCCTGTCCACCTGCATCCAGATGATTTCAGCAGAATTGCTAAGAGCATGAATTGGAGAAAAAGGCAATCTTCCCATGAAGTGCTGATGGGAATACATCCAGTAAAATGGAATTAGAACACTGGGACTCACCCATCATGAAAGTGACTCAAAACACCTTAAAGGCTTAAATGTAAAGTTTGAACTAAGGGATGGCTGGAACCAGACATAAGGTGAGCATGTAAATACGCTGAAATGGGCAGTGTGTTTAAAACAGCCCAGAAAACAGAACCAAATTGAACAAACTGAATTATACCAAACTAAAAATTTTTGTGCAACAAAGAAACACCAGTGAAGAGTAGATTTACACAGGGAAACGTTTTTAAACTGTGTGTCTGACAGTGAGATTATATCTAAAATATAAAATCAACTTCAAAAAGCTCATTACCAAACAGTACATATTCTCTAAAAAGGAGCAATAGGGTGTAGCTCAGTGGTGAAACACTTGTGTGCTATGTATGAGGCTTTCGGATCAGTCCACAAAACAAAACAAAACAATAGTGTTAAACAGGCATGTTCCAGAGGAACATACAAATGGCCTACAAGTACATGAAAAACATTCTCAAGGTCATTAATAATCCTGGAAATACAAACCAAAGCCAAAATGATAGGTCACCTCACCAGAGCAAGAATGACACCTACCACAAAGACTAGAGGTAACAAGTGCTGGAGAAGATGAGGGGTTCTAGTCAGTGCTCCAGAGGGGCAGAGCTGACAGAATGAATATATTTTAAAGGACTTGTTAAATCAGCTTACTTGACATGGTCAGGTCATCTAACAACAGCTGTCTCATACCTGAGCGGCTGAGAACCTGGAAGTTGCCCCATTCCTACGGCTGAGTGCCTCAGCAGTCCCAAACTGGTGCTGAAGGTCTGGAGGATTCCTGGAGAACCCCTGCTCCTCAGTCGGCATTGGAAGCTGGAAAAAGCAGTTCCAGTATCAGTGAAGGAATCCACCGGCATCCAGATGATTTTTATCTGAGCTGCCACCAGAAGGCGCTATCACATTTAGGTTGGGTCTACTCACATCAGCTAAGGCAATCAAGACTATCCCCACAAGGCCAACCTGATGTAGACGGACAATTCTTCAACTGAGGCTCCCTTTTCAGGTGATTTTGAGTTGTGACAAGTTGACATGTAAAACTGATCATCGGGATGGAGAGATGACTGAGCAGGTAAGAGCACACTGGCTGCTCTTGCAGAGAACCTGGGTTCGATTCCCATCACCCACGTGGCAGCTAACAACTGTCACTAACTACAGTTCCAGGGGATCCGACGCCCTCTTCTGACCTCTGCAGGCATTACATGGCACAGGTGCACTTACACACATGCAGGCAATACACTGAAACACACAAAAATAAGTTTTTAAAAAATTTTATTTTTATCTTATGTGTACGAGTGTATTGCCTGCATGTATGTGAGTGCACCCATGTTGTGCAGTGCCATGGAGGTCGGAAGAGGGCTTCAGATTCCCCTGGAACTGGAGTTAAGGACGGTTTGTAGCTGCCATGTGGGTGCTGGGAATCGAACCCAGGTCCTCTGCAAGAGCAGTAAGTGCTCTTCACCGCTGAGCCATCTCTCCAGCCCCATAAATAAGAATTTTTTTTTAAAACCAAAAACTGATCATCAAAAGGAGAAAGAGAACTCTGATGGTGGAATGAAAATTAGTTACGCCATTATGGAAAATCGAATGGATGCTACTAAAACAGTAACAGAGACGTCCCGCAATCCTGCAATCCCACTCTTAAGTGTATGCCCAGAGGAATGAAATTGGAACGTCACAGAGACCTCGGTGCTAAATTCATTGCAGCACTGCTCACAACAGCCAAGACATGGAAGCCACCCATGTGAGCACCAACACATGAATAAGGAAGGTGGGATTCTCCAGGGATGAAGGGAGTTCATTGCGCTAAGTGAGATGTGATGCAGCCAGAAAAGCAGCACCACATGCTCCCTCATGGTGGAACCTAAGAAGTTCTTCAGCAGAGGCTGAGAAGCACAGCTAACAGGGATGTTATCAGGAAAGGGAGGGACTGGTCGGTCAGCACTCACTGATCGTTTGAGAACAAGAATGTCTAGGGTGCTCTTGCATAGGATAGAGTGTCCATAAGTAATAGTGGACACTGAAAACTAGAAAAGGGGGCTTTTAAAGTTTTCACCATAATGATATGCTGAATATAAAAATCCAGTTTTACTTGATTTAATCAATATGCATGCATTAAGGCTCCACCCTCGGGGATGGCTTGAAAGCCTGGTGCTGGAGAATGTTAGACAGGCTCTGTTTGCTCTTTGACTTCTCTTATGGGAGGTTGCTGCAAGGATGCAATTGGAAGCAGATAAAGCCAGACTTCACCAGACACTGACTTTGTCATCATGACCCTAGCTTCCCAGGCCTCAGAATTCTGAGAAACGAAATTCTCTTTTTGATCAGTTTGTCATTTAGTAATGTTTCTTATAGAAAAACAGATGAAGACAACCCAGAAAATCAAAATTTGGCAGTGAAAACTATCTTCAAAATCCAATATATTATAATTACAAAGTTATGAAATCAGCTATTAAAAATATGCAGTGGAGGCAAAAAAAATCATACTTCAGGAACACATGTCACTTTTCATAAGAGAAATTGAAATTTCAAAATGGAAAAACTAGGTAAATTGAAAAAGTTAGTTTGAGTTTGAGATTAGAGACAAAATAAGGACAAGGACATAGGACTTACCCGATCTGAATGTAAGAGTGAAAGTTATTTGAAGAAAATGAGCAGAGCCTCGGAGACCTGTGTGATGATTCATTTCCAAGAAAGAAGAGGGACAGTATATTTTGTCCATGCAAAAATATAGCTCTTGCCGGGGGGGGGGGCTGAAGAGTTAAGAGCACGTATTGCTCACGCAGAGGGCCGGTTTCGTTCCAAGCACCCAAATTGGACGTCTCACAATTGCCTGTAACTTCAGGTACAAGGGATCCAATGCCCTCTTCTGGACTCCAAGCACAACCTGTACTTACATGTGCATAGACCCTCCTGCTCACCCCCCACATATACACATAATTTAAAATAAGGTATTTTTAAAAATACAACTCTCAGGCCCACTCGATGGCCTGGCAGATAAAGGTGCCTGCTGCCAAGTCTGATGACCTGAGTTGAATTCCCAGGACCTATATGGTAGAAGAAGAGAACTGACCTCTACGGTTGTCCTCTGACGCCACATGCACTCTGTGGCATGTGCCACTTTTTCTAATTACAAAAAGAAAAAAATACAGCTCTCCAAGAAAAGATAGTTTATTCTGGAGCCAAATATGAGAGATGATGGCCTGGGAATGCAGACTTAGAATTGGACCCCAAATTCCACATTCCAATGTGGGAATTATGTCATGAAGTTTTTTAAGGGACAGAACAATGAGTCATAAATCAAGGCAGTTTTCAAATATATTTGTGGAAGCATCAAATGGGCAGGTTACAGCAAAGTGGGGAAACCTTTGCTCTAGGCCCCAGATGCTACCTGATGACACTCTCAGCTTTGGGGGTGGTAGAAGCTAGACCAGACATTGCAAAGGATTAATTTAATAGTCACAAGGATGTTAGGCCACATATAGAGGTAGATAATAAATGACCATTTAAGGAGGCTAAAGGTGGCCGGAGATAATTTGGCTCTGGTCCTGAAATATTCCAACTTCTCCATAATTCTTCTAATCAGCCACTCAGTCCTTGACAAACGTTCAATGTATGGTTTGGCTTCTTTTCAGAAACCTTAGTTCATAAGTTCGATGTAGTAGAAATGTAAATAATCAACCAACAGCTGCTGATGTCAGTATTTTTCCAAAATTCACAAAGTTCTAGGTTTCATATCTAAGACTGGATAAAAATTGCCCTTAAAAAAATATCTTAGCTGGACGTGGTGGTGCACACCTTTAATCCCAGCACCTGGTAGGCAGAGGCAGGGGGGATTTCTGTGAGATCAAGGTCAGCCAGGTCTACATAGTGAGTTCCAGGTTATCTGAGGCTACAGGGAGACCCTGTCTCAAAAAACAAACAAAACAAGACCTTGGCTATCTTAGAGGTCATCAGAGCTGATCCAAAGTGACTGTTGAGGGTTGTGGGACAGGCTGATTCTTCTTTTCTGTTGTTACACAAGTGTGTTCATTGTGTAATAATTTGCTGAGCTTTCCATTGATGGTTTGCACATAGTTTTTCAAAACTTTATATGCATGAGTGTTTTGCCTACATGTATGTAAGTGCACCTGTGTTGTGCTAGAATAGGGTGTCAGATCCCCTGGAACTGGAGTTATGGATGGTTGTTAGCCACCATGTGGGTGCTGGGAATCGAATCTGGGTCTTCTGCAAGAGCAGCCAGTGCTCTTAACCATTAATCAATCTCTCCAGCCCTTTTGTTTGCACATGTTTTTGTTTGTATGTTATTCACCAATAAAAATTTTAGTGTTACATATCAGCACAAAAATCCTGTGGCAAGTATTTGAGAATAATAAAATAATTTAGTGTCATTTTAATGTGGGACATGTTTACTACCTATGCCATCACCAGAGAGATATTATTTTCATATATA